TCCAGGCTTCGAAATTGAGTGGTGTAATGAGCTATCCCTAACCGATATGGGTTTAGAGGTAACAAGTTCACATGGCGGAGAGGGAAGGAGGAGAGTACGTTTGTTGCAAAAAGATTGGATAGAGTTTTGTGTTGCGCCAAAGCGAGATTGAAGTGGTAGGAGGCAATCATCTCTCATTTACCTTTCTTAGCTTCGGACCATGCCCCGATCTATGTACAACTATGTCCTGAAGGGAGGGGAGACCCGAGTAGAAGACCATTTAGGTTCGAAGCTACGTGGATGAAACATGAGAGTTTCAAAGAACTAATTTCACAGTCCTGGAATGGTGAGATTGGGACTCAAGAAGCTTTAAATCGGTTGCGGAGAACGCTCAAGAGATGGAACAATGAGGTTTTTGGGGATGTGCAGAAGAGAAAGGAGGCATTAATCTCTAAAATTAAATTGGTCCAGGATGAGCTAGAGACGAATCAAACAGATGGGCTGTTAAAGAGAGAGGATGAACTGCTAAAAGAATTTGAGGAGGTTCTAGAGCAGGAAGAAGTAATCTGGTTTCAAAAATCAAGAGAGAAGTGGATCGCCTTGGGAGAGAGAAACACCAAATACTTCAACACATCTACCATTATCCGGAGAAAAAGAAACCGTATCGAAAGTTTAAAGAATGATGATGGAGTTTGGGTCACAGATGGAGCGGACTTGGAGAAGATGGCGGTGGACTATTATACATGACTTTACTCCATGGATAATGTTGAACAGGTGGTTATAAGCCTACCTTTGGCAGGATTTGTACGGTTAACACAGGCGGAGCTGCGAGCTTTGAATTTACCTTTTACGGCGGCGGAAGTGGAAGATGCAATACGCCGTATGGGACAATTTAAAGCTTCGGGGCCAGATGGGTTTCAACCAGGGTTCTATCAACACTGTTGGGATGTGGTGGGAAATTCAGTGACCAAGTTTATGCTAGATTTCTTCGCGACAGGGGTGTTACCGTGTGAGACGAATGATGCTTTGTTGGTGTTAATTGCTAAGGTGGAGAAACCGGAACGCATAACACAGTTTCGACCTATAAGTCTATGTAATGTGTTATTCAAAACAATTACAAAGACTATGGTGATAAGGCTAAAGGCGGTGATGCCTAAGCTAATAGGTCCAGCTCAAGCTAGCTTTATCCTCGGTAGATTAAGCACAGATAACATAGTGATTGTACAAGAGGCGGTACACTCAAATGCGAGAAAGAAGGTCGTAAAGGGTGGATGTTATTGAAACTTGACCTTGAGAAGGCGTATGACCGTATTCGTTGGGACTTTCTTGAAGACACTTTGCGGGCTGCACAGTTACCAGAACAATGGATTAATTGGATTTTGCAGTGTGTTAAGGGTCCAAAGATGAATGTGTTATGGAATGGAGAGAAAACGGCTGACTTTAAACCACTGAGAGGACTAAGGCAAGGAGATCCATTATCCCCGTATCTCTTTGTACTATGCTTGGAAAGACTATGTCATCAAATTGAGTTATCGGTCGGTGCAAAAGAATGGAAGGCGATTAGTTTATCTATGAGAGGACCGAAGCTATCGCACATTTGCTTTGTAGATGATCTTATTCTTTTTGCGGAAGCCTCGGTTGCTCAAATTAAAGTCATAAGGAAGGTTCTTGAAACGTTTTGCATTGCATCAGGTCAGAAAGTTAGCTTGGAGAAATCTAAGATTTTTTTCTCTACTAATGTGCATCGGGATCTAGCTGAACTGATAAGCGACGAAAGTGGAATTAAATCGACTCATGACCTTGGCAAATACTTAGGAATGCCTATTCTACAGAAGAGGATCAATAAGGATACGTTTGGGGAAATCATTCAACGAGCAAATTCTCGGTTATCAGGTTGGCGGGGTAGATTTCTGAGTTTTGCGGGAAGACTTACTCTCACTAAGGCAGTTCTCTCCTCACTCCCAGTACACTCCATGAGCACGATACTTCTCCCAAGTTTGGTACTTGACAAGTTGGATCAATTGTCAAGGTCGTTTCTATGGGGTAGCACGCCGGAAAAAAGAAAACAGCACCTAATTGGATGGGATCGGGTCTGTTTGCATAAATCGGAGGGTGGACTTGGTATTCGAATGGCGAAATATATGAATAAAGCCCTGTTGGCGAAGGTAGGGTGGCGTTTAATACACGATAAAAGCAGTCTCTGGTCCCGAGTGTTAAGACATAAATATAAGGTAGGAGATGTTAAAGATCCATCATGGTTGAAGCTGAAGGGGACATGGTCTTCAACATGGCGAAGCGTAGGTGTTGGGTTGCGAGATGTGGTGCTCCCGGGTATAAGTTGGGTCCTTGGCGATGGGAGAGTGATTAATTTCTGGTCGGATAAATGGGTTTCAAGGAAACCTTTGTTGGAGTTAGCGGTGACAGATATACCATTAAATGAGTTGAATGTGACTGTTAAGGATCTATGGCGGGATGGTATAGGCTGGGACCTATCTCGAGTTGAGCCTTTTGTGTCTAATAACACAAAATTGGAGTTAATATCGCTGGTTGTGGACAATGTTACCGGGGTAGTGGACCGTATATCATGGGGAGAATCACCAGATGGGCAGTTTAGTGTCAAGTCTGCGTACTCATTGTTGACTAAGGATGATTCGCCTAAGCCTCAGCTTGGGAAATTGTTTGCGTGTGTGTGGAAAGTTGAAGCTCCAGAACGAGTAAGTATTTTCCTATGGTTAGTGATTCATCAAGTCATAATGACGAATGTGGAGCGTCACCGGAGACATCTTGTCGACTTTGGGTTATGTCAGGTTTGTAAAAGCGGAGATGAATCAATCCTCCATGTTCTGCGTGACTGTCCGGCCATGGCGGGTATATGGCAGCGGTTAGTGGCTCCGAGACGGGTACAATCTTTCTTTGGTAAAACCCTTTTGGAGTGGATGTACATGAACTTGAGTAATGAGAAAGAAGTTGACGAGGTGAAATGGGCTACGCGTTTTGCTATGGCTGCTTGGTGGGGCTGGAAGTAGCGTTGCGGGAATGTATTTGATAATCACGGGAGATGTAGAGATCGGGTACGGTTTGTCAAGGACTTGGCCAAGGAAGTAGCTGTGGCTTTTAATAATTCTCGAGCGCGAGCTAGTGGTGTTGCGAGAGAAGAGAGGTTAATAGCGTGGGTCCCTCCTGGTGACGGCTGGGTCAAGCTCAATACGGATGGGGCGTCACACGGGAACCCGGGGCTAGCGTCAGCGGGAGGGGTGTTGCGTGATGGCCAAGGAAACTGGAAAGGAGGGTTTGCTTTGAATATTGGCATCTGTACGGCACCACTTGCCGAACTTTGGGGAGTTTACTATGGTCTATATATAGCTTGGGAGCGTGGAATACCGCGACTGGAGCTTGAAATAGACTAGGAGATGGTTGTTGGTTTCCTGACGAAAGGAATAGGTGATTCTCACCTCCTTTCTTTCCTAGTACGTTTGTGCTATGGCTTCATTTCGAGGGACTGGATAGTCCGTATTACCCATGTGTATAGGGAAGCTAATCGTCTTGCGGACGGATTAGCTAACTATTCGTTTTCACTTCCTTTAGGTCTTCACTTGTTTACCTCTCAGCCTCATATTGTTAATCAGATTGTTTTAGAGGATGCTAACGGGACTGCACGCCCGAGAAACATTTGTTTGTAGTTTAATTTTCTTTTTTAATAAATTGGGGAAGCAATTGCCACCCCCTCTCCTACCAAAATAAAAAATAAAAAAAATAAATGGACCATTACTCCACGAGTTTGTGGGAAACACACGCCAGCAGCTCTCGACGGCCCGTTTCCATGCCTTTATTATCCCATCACGTTGACCCCACAGACGTAAAAAGTCAAAACCTGCCATTAATCTTTACTATTAAATATTTCATGATTTAAAAAGAGAATAAGCCGTGGACAACAATTTTTCTACAACATTTCCGTTGTATTTACACTTTCCAACTATAGTCGATAAAATTGTAATAAAAAAACGTATTAATCTACAGAAAATTCAGTGTTAAATAAAGACTCAACAAACTTGTCCATTAATAGAAGAACTTTACCAGATTAAAACCACTCCTCCACTCGATTATTAATATTTTTTTATAGAATTAAGATACGATGACGTGTCCATGAAACATGAGCTCAGTGGCACGCAACGTAATAGAAAACGACAAAAGTAAAAAAGAGAAAGGCACATGTCCGAACTCACGTGTCCACTTAAACGCACCACTTCTTCTGTGCTCTCCACGCGCCTCCTTCTTCCCCCACACGCCCCTCCCGAGTCCCGACCTTCTTCCTTTTATTTTCCTTTTCCTCCAAACATTTCTCAGATTCTCTCGTAAGCTTTGTTATTTCTTCTCCTCGTTTCGAATCCTAATTGTCTTCAATTTCCGACGAGATTCTCACCGGAGAAAAGGTATATTTTCTGAGCCTTTTTGTGTTCCGATTTAAGCTGTGAGAACTTAGCCGTAGTATTTTTTTTGATAAATCTTTCACTGTTTGATTTGACAAGAATATGGGTAATAAAGACAGAATCTAAAACCACTTGTCTTCAGTTTTTGAGGAATCAAAATCACTCAAAAGTTTTGTTTTTTTGTCTCTGCTCCCATGTCTCTTGATGGGTTTGTACTTATTTGACATTAGGTGTTTGATTTTAAAGATGAATGATTTATCAGATTTATCTTATCTCTAAATTTCAGGTGACTTGACAGAGAATCTTGTTCTTTTAACAAAAGCAAAAGATGGCATCGAAAACTCCTTCCACATCGTCTGATGAAGCAAATGCTACTGCAGATGAAAGGTGATTCTTTTAACAGATTATGGAACTCTTTATCTTTGTTTATGGTGATCGATTATGTTTAGTATATAAAACAGATGTAGAAAAGGTAAAGTACCCAAAAGGATTAACAAGGCTGTTCGTGAGAGGCTTAAGCGCGAGCATTTGAATGAGCTTTTCATCGAATTAGCTGATACTCTTGGTAAATTTCACATCTTTCAATCTTCCATAGATTTGAATGACCAATTGCTTGAGTGGGTCAGATTTTGAATGTGATTGTGATATCTAACTGTGAACATTGAACATTGTCTTTGTTGCAGAACTGAATCAACAGAATAGTGGGAAAGCTTCTATACTAGGCGAAGCTACTCGGTTTTTGAAAGACGTGTTTGGTCAAATCGAGTCTCTTAGAAAGGAGCACGCTTCTCTCCTCTCTGAATCTAGCTATGTAAGTCACTTACTATATGCACATTGATTGTGTTTATGTACTCTTTTGACATGGATCAAGAAGTTACTTAAGTCTATGTTTATATGTTTGTGTAAATGGTCTTGTTGATGGAAACTGGTGTTGTGTGTAGGTAACCACAGAGAAGAATGAGCTCAAGGAAGAAACATCAGTGCTTGAGACTGAAATCTCGAAACTACAAAACGAGATAAAAGCAAGAGCAAGTCAGTCGAAACCTGACTTGAACACCTCTCCTGCACCCGAGTACCATCATCATCATCAGCATCCTGAACTTGCATCTCAGTTTCCAGGACTTCCCATTTTCCAAGGGCCCGGCTTTCAACAATCTGCTGCAACTTTTCCTCCTCCTGCAACAGTTCTTGTCCTTCCGATACAACCCGATCTCCAGACACAAGATATCTCAGAAATGACAGGGCGTTTGCAGACACAAGCGCAGCCTTTGATGTATAATACCTCAAATGTGAGTAAGCCATGTCCAAGGTATGCTAGTGCGGCTGACTCGTGGTCTTCTCGGCTACTTGGGGAGCGATTGAAAGCCAGTGAATAAGGTCTTGAGCGGCTCCACATGGAGTAGCAACACAAGTTAAGACATGGCAACAACTTATGAAGGACCCTGGTTTTGTATTTTTAACATCATCTGATGTCCTTGTGGGTTTGGCCTTGGCCATTTCTTGTTTTTGATGTGGCTATTCATAGGATCAGGAAGTTATGGCCTTTACTTTATGGGTCGTTTGAGATAAATAAGTAAATTAGCTCTAACCATTGTCCTTTTCTTTTATCTTAAGATTCTAAAACAACACAGAAACATAACACAAAAATATCAAATTTTCTTGAAAGATAAAAGCTTTCTAAATGGAAACAGAAATGTGAAATTGGGTTTAAAGAAAACCGGTTAATTGGTTGTGGTTTGGATTGGTTTAAAACGGTTATAGAAAAATGATGGTATTTTGGTAAAATAGGCACTTGAGAAAAAGAGAAGAGAGGAGCCATCTTATCTGCTATCGAGTGGGTAAGAAGAACCAGAAAACAGAAAATGGCGAATTCACTATGCTTCTTCTCTTCTCCTCCTACTTTTTGCTTCCAATCTCCCAGCAAAAACCCTAAACCTTCTCACTTCTTCTCAACTAATGATAACACCTCTTCCTTGGTCCAGAAGAGAGAACTGCTTCAGACTTCAAGATCCCAAAGTTTTGAAGTTAAGGTTTGAATTTTCCCAAACTCTTCTCCTCACTATCAAAATTTGCTTACTTCATTTGCCATTTCGTTAATGCAAAATCTCATTTTGTGGTATCAATAGGCCGCAAACAATAATCCTCAGAGCACTAAACCGAACAGTTTAGTTTGTGCAAATTGTGATGGGAACGGTAAGTTCTTACCCAACCAGTTTACAATTCTCTTAGTTTAGTAAAATTGACAAAAGATTTTGTGTAAATGTTATCAAAGGTTGTGTGGCATGTTCTCAATGCAAAGGAGGTGGTGTGAATTTGATTGATCATTTCAATGGTCAGTTTAAAGCTGGTGCACTCTGTTGGCTTTGCAGGTTTGCAACATCTTATCTCCTTTCTTCTATACAAAAACTCCAAAAAAATTCATTACTTAATATCCTTTTCTTGAATTTCTTGTGGGCAGAGGTAAAAAGGAGGTGTTGTGTGGGGACTGCAATGGAGCTGGTTTCATTGGTGGGTTCTTGAGCACCTTTGATGAGTAGTTCAAAATAGCTTCTTCTGGATACTCAGAAACACTCTTTTTATAAACTTTAGAAGAAGTAAATCTTTCTCTCTATCAATGCTCTTCTATACCAAAAACATGTATTACTATTTGTTATTGCACACCAAACTTTTATTGTATTGTTGTTTTTCAGATCCTTCTCTCCTTTTTTTTGTCTTCTACAAATTGAAATATTGTTAAAGTTTATAGCACTTCTTTGGAAGTCTTGTTGATGGCTTGAAATGTTGAAATGGTTAGGAGAAGAATTAATTACAGTTTTATTCTATTTATTTACATTGAAACAGAGTGTTTTTATATCATCCTAGTATCTATCTAACCCAATGATATTATTATTCTTAAGATTTTTTTTTTTAAAATTTGATATATTTGATTTGGTTGTTTAACATAAACTGATGTTATATCATGAGTAAATAAAAATAGGCACATAATAAGATAGATAAAACTGAAAAAAACATTGCACCTGAAAAAACGAGAAGGAATGGAAACAACTGTAAATAACAGATAAACGCATCTGAGACCAACAAAAGGAGAAGACACAGACCTTTTTCTCTTATTACCTGTTGTTGTTGTCGTCGTCGCTGGGTCAGAATCTCGTTGTTGTTGTGTTTTTCTTTTCTCTCGCTCTCCATTTCGAATCCAGCACAAATCTGTCTGATTCTTGGGAAAAGTCAAGTCAGAAACCTAGACGGGAAGACAAGGATATCAGTTCGTCTCTTACGGATATACCCATAAATTGCTCCAAGCTCAACATCTGTTTGTTCCATAATTTCAATACGAATCGATTTGTTCCACAAATGTTTTTTCCGTAATCGTTGCGTGTCGACCAAGGAACTAGGTGCGTTTCTCTCTGATCTTTGATCATCAATCCCGTTTTGTGTAATTAATGATTAGGTCATTTCTTATTTTCCAAGGTAGGTCAGGGAAATTGATGAACGCAAATGCGATTCCATAGGAGCAATCAGCAGTTATTAGACGTCCCGATGAGGTTTTCGATTCGATAAAGAACCTTTGGAAATAGAAGGCAAAAGGGGTTTTATTATATGGGGCGAGCATTGGAATCATCTGGTGCTCAAAACTTAGAATGGCTTGTTTCCAGAGAAGTGTCCCACAGAGAGGGAGAATGAGCAGGTTTGTTCCAGACTCTCTTACAATCTTTAGTAAAAGATTATCTTCAATTCCTAAAGTATGATTCTTCTTTTTGGCATAAAACTTGGTTCAGGCGATAGCGATTCTCAAGAAAGGAGCTTATCTATTGAAATACGGCCGTCGTGGGAAGCCTAAATTCTACCCTTTTCGGCTTTCAAGTGTACCATTCATAACCTTCAATCACAGTTTATTTCAAAGCTGAAGGTTGTGATTTGATAGTGGTTTTCTCAAATGTTTATGCAGGATGAAATATATTTGTTATGGTATTGTGGTAAAAAGGAGAAACGTCTTAAGCTGAGTTCTGTGACAAGGATCATACCTGGACAGCGAACTGTAAGTTAAAATGTATGAATCATTTTATCTGGTAACTGTTTGGCTGCAGATTTCTGAACAGATGAATGTTATTGTAAGAACTTTTCCAGGCAGTTTTCCGACGATACCCTCAACCCACCAAGGAATATCAATCCTTTTCTCTTATATATGGCGAACGGTCTCTCGATTTGGTTTGTATTTTGCTCTCCCTGACAAGTATTAGCTGTCTTCTAAGAACCATATAGTCTTACTACTGAATAATACGCATTTACTGAAACATCTTGGATAGGTATGCAAGGACAAGGATGAAGCTGAGTTTTGGCTCACAACACTTCGCGCTCTTCTCTCACGAAACAACTCTTCTTCTGCATTGGTACTTCACTCAAGAAGCCGTAGTTTTGCTCCTGAAAATGGAGAACAAAGTAGTACGAGCAAGAACTCTAAGTCCAACATCAGATCTGTCAGCAGTGACACAAGCTACGAGGTTTTGCTGGTTTTTTTCTTTCTTCAGGAGAGGACCATATGGTTGTTTAATTTCCTACTTAATATCATATCTTATCTGGCACTTTTGCAGGAACATGCAAAAAAGGCCTCAGGATCACACTGCAACACTCCACAGAGACTGGGGAAAGTTTTCTCAGAGGTTTTGTCACAAACTGCAGTACTAAAGGCACTCTCTTTGGATGAACTGGTTCATAAACCTCATACTTCGCCTCCAGAGGCTATAGAGAATCGATCTACTAATCACTCCCCTGCCGTTGATACAAGTAAATATAGCGTTTCCAGCGCAGTGAGCTCATCTAGTCAAGGCTCATGTTTTGAAGACTTGAAGTCTCTCTGTGATGTCTTTGTTTGGGGAGAAAGTATTGGAGATGGGCTACTAGGAGGTGGCATGCATAAAAGTGGCAGCAGCTCTTCTCTGATGACTGATTCTTTTTTACCCAAAGTCTTGAAATCACATGTGGCACTTGATGCACAGAGCATTTCTTGCGGCACCAATTATGCAGTGTTAGTCACAAAGCAGGGACAATTGTACAGCTGGGGAGAAGAATCTGGGGGCAGGTTAGGACATGGAGTTTGTTCCTACGTTCCACACCCAAAGCTTATCGATGAATTTGACGGATCAACGGTAGAGTTAGCTGACTGTGGGGAATTTCATACCTGTGCTGTAACAACCTCAGGGGATCTATATGCTTGGGGTGATGGAGACCACAATGCCGGTCTCCTTGGACTTGGTAGTGGAGCTAGCCATTGGAAACCGGTACGAATTCTCGGTCAGATGGAAGGTATAAATGTAAGAACTATATCTTGCGGACCTTGGCATACAGCTTTTGTGACATCAGCAGGTAAGCTATTTACATTTGGTGATGGTACTTTTGGTGCGCTTGGACACGGTGATCGTATAAGCACAAACATTCCTAGAGAAGTAGAGGCGCTAAATGGCTGCAGAACAATAAGGACAGCTTGTGGCGTTTGGCATTCAGCCGCTGTTGTCAGTGTTTTCGGTGAGGCCTCATCATCAGGAAAGCTCTTTACTTGGGGTGATGGAGATGATGGGAAACTCGGACATGGTGATATAGCGTCTAGACTAATCCCATTGAGTGTAACTGAACTGGATACAACTAGCTTTCAACAGGTAGCTTGTGGCCAGAGCATAACTGTTGCTCTCTCTATGTCTGGACAAGTTTATGCTATGGGAACTGCTGATCCGAGTCAGGATGATGTTGTGAGAGCTCCTTCTTGTATTGAAGGGGGTCTAGGAAAGAGTTTTGTCCAAGAAGTGGCTTGCGGGTATCACCATATCGCGGTTTTGAATTCGAAAGCTGAGGTCTACACTTGGGGCAAAGGATCAAACGGACAGCTTGGGCATGGAGACACTGAATATAGACGCATGCCGACTCTTGTGAAAGCTTTAAAAGGTAAACAAGTGAGAAAAGTGGTGTGTGGTTCTAATTACACAGCAACCATTTGTCTTCACAAACCAATTACGGGTACTGATAGTTCTAGGTGCTCTGGTTGTCGCCATCCTTTTAATTACATGAGGAAGCTTCACAACTGTTATAACTGTGGGAGTGTCTTCTGTAATTCATGCACTAGTAAGAAATCCTTAGCAGCAGCTATGGCTCCCAAGACGAACAGGCCTTACCGTGTTTGTGATGACTGCTATATCAAACTCGAAGGAATTAGAGAATCTTTAGGAACTCCAGCAAATAGTGCCAGGTTTTCAAACGCAAGTCTACCATCTAGCAGTAACGAGATGGATGAAATTGGTACAACACCGCAGCGTCAGCTTCTTCATAGGGTGGATTCATTTGATTTCTTCAGACAAACTAAGATCCCGGACCTGAAAACCATTGGTGAAACTTCAGGAACAAGCTGCACGTCGTCGACTCACTCAAATATGGATATTAAAGGTAGTTTCAACCTGAAAGGCATACGACGACTCTCCAGGCTAACCTCTTTTGATTCAGTTAAAGAAGAAGGCAAACAACGTTCCAAGCATTGCGCTTCGAAATCAGACACATCCTCTCTTATAAGACACTCAGTGACGTGTGGTCTCCCATTTTCACGTAGAGGTTCTGTTGAGTTGTTTCCTTTATCGATAAAATCCAGCCCGGTTGAATCTGTTGCAACTACTTCAGACTTCACAACCGACATTACAGATCATGATTTACTGCAAGAAGTGCCAAAGAAATCCAATCAGTGCCTGAGCCATGAAATATCAGTACTCAAAGCACAGGTTAGTCCAACCACTTATCCCATATTGAATCAAATGTAGCTTAAGGTATTGTAGATGAAGACAAGTAAAAACTTTTAACACTCAGGTGGAAGAGCTTACTCTAAAATCGAAAAAACTAGAAGCCGAACTAGGAATGACATCGAAGAAGCTTGAAGTCGCAGTACTAATGGCGCGTGATGATGCAGAGAAGATCAAATCATCAGAAGAGATAGTCAGATCCCTAACACTGCAGGTACATTACATTCTCATTGTTTTTGAAATATGCTTCTTGAGCTCCGAGATTTCAATCATTTTCTTCTTCTTCCAGTTGATGAACGCTACCAAGAAAGAAGTAGACAAGACAAGAAGACGCCGGAACTCGTTTTGATTTAAACCTTTTTAACTTATAGAGAACAACCTCTAATTTGATCAAAGTAAGTGAATAGATTGACAATTCAATGGGGTTGAATGTAAAATACAAGAAACAAAAGATTTCTCTTTTATCAAATTACATACATCAATGTAGTAGTTACTTACAGAGCAAGAACAGAGAGCTCACAAACACACTTATATATTCGAAATTGACAAACAGAGAAAAAAAAAAAGTTCAAACCTTTATGATTGGTTTAGTGAAGAATCAACAAAAGCTTCTTCATTTGGCTAACAATGGCCAAGCTAATACTCATCATCTGATTCGCCATCTCCATCTCTTTCTTAATCTCATTCCCTACAATTGTTCCCATTTCTTCAATCCCATCGGAACAAGTCTCACCGTCAGTCATGGCGGCGCTGATCCAAGTCTTAACATCTCCGACGACTTCTTTAGTCAACCAATTCGCTCCTTTCTTCTTCTCTTTCTCAATCTCTGTAATCGAATCGTTGAGTTGACTCAACGCGTCGGTGTAAAGCTTCACACAATCACCAACCGCTGCGTCTTCAGGCATATCGTTGATAGATCGGAAAGAGATAGAGAGGTTTGAGAGATTTTTAACAGCGACACGAAGAGAAAGCTCGAGGATTGATTCAGGGTTAAGATTTGAATCTGATTCGTTGAGAGAAGAAGATAGAGAACTGAAACAAGTCTCTGGGTAACGAGTCACGGCGCAGACTGATTTGAGTGAAGCGGAGGAGATGGGAGGATGGTGTGGAGGAGGATGAGTGAAAACTCCGGCGGTTAAAGCGACGACGGCGAGGATTAAGAGGAGAGATACGACGGAGACGGTGGCGATTAGGGTTTTACGAGAAGATGGTTTTGGAAGTGGAGTATGATGATGATGAATTTGGTTTTCTTGGTCGGATACTTTGTCGTAACCTTTCAAGGTGTTGATTGATTCCATTGATAATCGTTTTTTGATCGGAGTAAATTGGAAGAAGAAGATGAATGAATCTGTGATTTTGGGAGAGAAAAAGTCAACAAGAAGAAGTTGAATAAATGAAGCTTTGTTGCATTTATAAGCGTAAAGCCTAAAGTCACAACGTATCTCTGTCTTCCACGTCTTCCCTATTTACCATTTTCCTACCACGCGGGGAAATTACTATAGTTTGGTTGCACAAAAAAACTGTTATAGTTTTACCGCAGTGCGGTAAAAAGAACGTACTCACTCTGTTTTACAAATACTGTCATTCTACGCTTTTTCACACATATTAAGAAAACTATTAAAATTTCTTTTATACCCCTTAATAATACACTAAACAAAATTATCTCTCTTATTAATGCATTAAAAAAATAGGGTTAAAAGTGAATTTTTATTCAATATTTTGCATTGAAAATACAAAACGACACTCTTTGTGAAACAAAAATAAATCTTAAAACGACACTCTTTTTGAAACGGAGGGAGTATTATACTAATGTATAGTTACTATAAAAAAATGGTATAGAACATTGTTTGAACAATGAGTGTGGTGCTGATAAAATAATTATCAAATTATAACTAACTTTAGTAATATTTCAAGTGATTGGTAAGTATAGTGCGGACCGGACAATGCATACCAATATTTTAGTATGCAAAATGTCAGACTGTAGTATGGAGCAAACAATTGTATGTTGGTATGGAGTTTATGTTGGTATGGAGCTTTTGGGGAGTGAAATGAAAAAATGTGGACCAAGAGTGAATTTATGATGGTATGGAAAAGTATGCTGAAGTGCATACTAGTATGAAGATTTTTAGTATGCAACAGTGCATACTAGTCTGGAATAGTGAATGGTGAATTAAGTGCGTATTGATTCGATTTTAATCCGGTTGCAACATATTATACAACCATTCAAAGCCTATGTCTATATATTTGATAAATATATGAAACACTTGTAGTTAGATGTTTTTAAAACGGAGTATGCGGATAGAAAAAGCTGGACCAAATACTTATAATTTAATAAACGTATGTCTCATACTTTGCAAAAGGTTGTTGAATAGTGAATGGTGAATTAAGTGCGTACTGATCCATGGCTCTTTGTTGTTTGATGTTTCTTGCAAATCTCAATTGTTTTGTTAAAAAATAATACTTTTTTTTTTACATCTTTCTATTTTTATGTATAATATTAATATAGAAAAAATGTAACTTCAAATACCAAGTTTTGAACAAATGTCTTTTTGTGTGTGTGTTGGTGCTGAAATCCACACTCGAGATTTGTACTTAGTTTTTATGGGCAAAAAGAACTAGACTTTCAATGAAACTCTGAGAATTGAATTGCTATAAACGAATGGATTTTATTGATATGAATCAAGTGAATACAGTGGAGAGTATGTGAATACAAGTGTTTTTGAGTATTAGGTTTAAGTAGGCAAGTAGGCGATGATCCTCCTTAGGTCGTCCATCTCTCCTTATATAGGTCTTTGAACTAGGTTAGGAGTTCCGAGATCCGCGCCACTTTCTCCTAAATATTAGGTTTGTTCCGAGATTTTAGCCGACCTGGTCACTCGTCATTATCAAGTCGTCTTCTACTCCTTATGGGCCGCCAGGTCGGGCCTAATATGCGAAGCCCGTTAATATTTTTGCTGATGGATTTCGAGGTGCGAAATCCAGGTCCAACAGTGTGCTAACGACTGATTTTTAAAAAATTTCGATCACTTTCCGTCTATTATTATTTGTTAAATTATGGTTTAAATCATAGTTTAGATCACATAATATATATTTTACCGTTTTAAAAAAAAGAACATATATATAAGTTGTAATTATGCTTGTGTAAATACAACTTATATTATGTGATCTTTGAACATAAGTCTAACCTAATTGTTATGGTTTAGGGTAACGACATGCACACAATTGTTCTCAAATAATTCATATCTAAAAAACTTTTGTCCAAATTTTTGTCAAATAACATATTTGTAACTAATAACATTGTAGAAAGATTTGCTGAAAACCTTGATGATTTCATGCGTTAGATAATGTCAGATGATGTAGTTTCATTATGAAATAGAAAAATTGTTTGGATGTGGATCTTTGCAATCTATTTCTCTAATATCCACCTATTTGTAATATCCACCTATTTGATTATCGATTACAACAAAATTTTTGATTTCCTTGAATCTTGCACACTACTATTAAACTCTCGCTTTATTGCATGTCACTCTAATCTTGAAGAGTTTACCAATTTGAAAATTTATGAAACTGAAATTTCACTATTTTACTATTTCTAAAATTATGGCTCAACATTATGAATTTGTTTTGGATTCACAGTTCTCAAAAATATCAAGTTCTTTAAACATAGCCAATTTTTTCAATAAAAAATTATTGCTTTTTTCTTAAAAATCTCAAACCACATATTGATTTTGTTAATATATTTTTGTTGAGGGTTTTTATTTTATTTTCCTATATCATTTTAATTGAGGATTCTAAATTAAATTTGGTGATTTGAATTTCAAACTCTTTAAAAACATCTATCAAAAACTAAATTTCTCATATAAATATGAGTATTTTTTTTCCTAAAAGTGTTGGTTCACAAATCACATCACAACCACATGAAACATAAATATACAATTAAAAACAAATAATTAAATAAAAAAATTAAAAATTGGCCATCTTTCCAGTTGCCGCTGCCAGCCGTTTCCTTCTGCTTTTTCACTTTTCCGTTCTCTCTCTCTCTCTCTCTCTCTCTCTCTCTCTCTCTCTCTCTCAAACCTTTTTTTCTCTGCTTCCGTTTCTCCGTTCAAAACAAGATCGAATCATAAAAAGATTACTCCTTTTTTTCTTCTCGAAAGAAAGGAGAATTCTTCACGTCTTCTGCTCCATTTTCCGTCAATACCCATTTCTTCTATCGCTCTCGTTTCCAAGAAAAGAGGGCTTTTTTTTTTTTGGTTTAGAGAAAAGCAAAACTCAAATGGCGACGAACATCGGAATGATGGATAGTGCTTACTTCGTTGGAAGAAACGAGATTCTGACTTGGATTAATGATCGTCTTCAGCTCAATCTCTCTCGCGTCGAAGAGGTATTCCTTCTTCTTGTATATCTCTGCATGCGAGCTTTCTCTAATTCTTCTTTGGTAATGTTGATTTGGGAATTAGGGTTTTGAACTTTGAAGGAATTGTAGATTTGGGTTTGATTTGTTTCAACTGGTTAGTGAGAATTCAGTGTTTGGATTATTGGAGGATGGTAGTGATATTTGGGGCTAAGTTCATATGTTGAGGCATTTTATGATTGCTTAGTTGTTTTGGTTGTTAAAATGTTGCAATGTCATAGATTTACTGTTGTTGTGAGGGATCTAAAGAGTCTCAGTAGTTTTGTGTCAGTCATGAGACTCTGTTGTCTTTGTTCTAAGTATAAATTTATGGGTTTTGCTAGGCTGCATCTGGTGCTGTGCAATGTCAAATGCTTGATATGACCTTTCCAGGAGTTGTGCAAATGCACAAGGTGATTTTTAACTTTTATAGTTATCTATCTTACGATTACTTTTGCTTCTTGGCGGCTGAATAACTCAAATTTTCCTCTGCAAGGTTAACTTTGATGCGAAGAACGAGTACGACATGATACAGAACTACAAGGTCCTGCAAGATGTGTTCAACAAGCTGAAAATTACAAAGGTAAATCAATCATCTTTTGATATGTTGCGTTCCTGTGTATATATCATGTATATGTATTACTCAGCTTGTTTGTCTTACTGAGAAAACACCTCAGCCATTGGAAATTAACAGGCTTGTCAAAGGCCGACCACTGGACAACTTGGAGTTTTTACAATGGCTGAAGCGTTTCTGTGATTCCATTAATGGTGGCATTATGAATGAGTATGGGGTTTCATCTGTCAGATTTTTGGATTTGTTAACCCTCCGTTGTTTTCCAAACAATCAAGCTTGTAAAATCTGTGGTTTCTTGTAGGAACTATAATCCAGTGGAGCGAAGATCAAGAAATGGTAAAGAGAGGAGTGTGAAGGGATCTAACAAGATTCCAAAGTCACTGCAAACTAACAATAATCATCCTCCACCCAATTCCGGTTCAGTTGGACTTAGCAAAGCATCAGGTCTGCCCTTAAATAAACAGATTTTCTATGCAAACAATAAGAATTCTTTTATGCATCTTTCTAAACATGTTGGTATCATAATTCTCAGGGCCCAAGCCAGCAAAAGCAGCTGAAGTGCAGGCTATGTCGAAGGAGGTATATTGACATAGATCCTATCGCTCTTAGTATAAGCTTTCTTCTTAGTTTTCACCTATACTCTAATGGACGAAACATCCACCATATGTAATATATAACCCTTTCTTCATCTTCTGCGATACAGCTTGCAGATCTCAAGATCTCTACTGATCTCTTGGAAAAAGAAAGAGACTTTTACTTCTCCAAGCTTCGGGATGTTGAGATACTCTGCCAAACTCCTGAACTAGATGATCTTCCGGTAAGCGCTTCCGTAGAGCCTGTTTTTTCCAAACCTTGTCTCACTCTATCTTGCATGGTATATCATATCGTTCTTAGAATCAAGGACAAAAAACAGCTCTTACTAATGAGCTCCTGCACAACCAGATTTCATCAGCGAGCACATTTAATGTTTCTCATCATTTTGTGATACATATGCTTCCCTGGAATGCAGATAGTGGTAGCAGTGAAGAAGATACTGTATGCAACCGATGCAAATGAATCTGCACTAGAAGACGCTCAAGAGTACTTAAACCAGTCCCTAGGAGTTGAAGATGAAGCTGAAGCAAACGGAGAACAACAGGAAGAAGAAAAGACTCAAGCCTAAGCTCTGACTATTAACAATCCTAAGTAGAAGAACTTTCCGAATCAAAATTTTCAGGGTGACAGACAATGGCTAGTCATGGCCTTTCTTGCAAGTTTCTTTTGTTAAAGGAAACTTACTGAAACTTGAAGATGAATGAGCTTATTAGAAACCTTTAGTTTGAAAACAGTGAGACTTATTTTTGTTACTATTCAAGAGGCTTTTTTTTTGTTTTAAAACAATTACTTTGACCCAAAAGTGAGAATCTTAAAAGTGTCAGAGCTTCCTCTTTTTAGCTTCTCTATTAAATCATGAATCATTAAGATAATGAAGTTTCACACCGAGACGAAACAAAACCAGGGCTGGTTAGTACAATTTCAATTAAAAATCCAAACTTGAGTGTTATATTTTAATCCTCAAATAAATGAAATGATCCCAACTATCCGTATTTGTGCGAGTCTATGAATGTACCTTCCTAGTCGACTCTCCGATGACATCAGTGAGATATTGATTTGCTGAAAGCGATCTAACTAAGAGAAGACTCTACTCTTAGCTACCTTCTTGGCTTCGGCTTCACTCAAATATCGAACGCTGTTCTCACGTAACCACTTATCGCCTCTACTCAGACCGTCCTTCACTTTCTTCTCTTCCATCTTCAGAAGCGTAAGCCCCTCACTTAGTTTAGGAAAGAAACCTTCGGGTCTAACGCACCACGTCCTGAAAACCCCATATAGAACCTCCATGTCTTCTTTTAACCTTTCGACTCCATCATTGGAAAACTTCACGTTCGCCATCAAGATGCTGTTGAAGAACAACTTGTCTATCTCAGAGGCTAGAGTCCTCCACATAGCTGTAAAGTCTGCTTTGTTTAGATTTTCTTCTATTATAGACGTTTTTCCTTGCAAATAGTCTAGAGCCCCAACTAGTGCCCTTGACACTGTCCATTCTTTGTCTCTCTTCTCCTGCCATTGCTTTCTGTTTTTTATGTATTCTCGAGTTCGAGCATCAAAGCCTCTCAAGACCACCACAGACAACTTGTTTATCCACTCTAGCCGGAACTTCTCCAACTTCTCAAATTCTTCTCCGAAAATACCTTCAGAAGGTTCTGTAAAATTCTCCAGTCCTGGAACTTCCTGTGGATCGTGCTGTCCAGTTCCCATTTCGAGGAAATATACATCTTCAGACCATTCTTCTAATACAGATTCAATGTAGTGACCAGCATTGATAGAGTTTGAGACCTTGATTAGATCGTTATTTTCGGTTAATGCAGTTAGTCCTTCGGCGTCTTGGCACCTGAGAAGGAGGCAATCCAAGAACTTATGGATTGTTGGTGAGGCTGCCAATTTCAGGAACCTTGCCCTCAAATATATGGCCGGTACTGATTTGGATCGTTCGATTATTGATGACAAATGCTGCAGAAAGATGCTGGAAATGATTGGTGGTCTGTAAACGTTGGAAGTGGAGATGAGTTCGTCTTGGACCTTTGCTGTCCAATTTCTGTCGTTATCAATATCTGCCTTGAATTTGACTAGCCTCTCATCTAGCTCTATCTCTGCCCATAAATCGAGCCAATCAGGTCTGTCACAGAAAACTGAGAGAGAGGAAATTCTCAGAAGATTCCCATCTTCTTGAAGCGAAAGTATTCCTGATTGTGATACCAGAGACTGTACTCGCTTATCAAAAGAGATCATCAGGTCAATGAGATGGAGCCACGAAACCTTGGCCTCAGAACGAAGATCAGTTTCATTTGCTTCGTTTAGCTGTCCAACATATATAGGGAATATCTCTTTCACCAAGTACAAAGACAATGAGCTTACCATAGCCGAAACCCACTCTTATCGGCAACTGTACCCAGCTAGTTTTGCTTCATCAACGAGCGGTTGTAACAACTCATCCATAGAATCGACATAGTCCCTTGTGATTTTATACACAAGGGCAAAAATGAATTCAGGCTTTTCGCTCCACTTTGTAAAATGTCGCTGAGATGCAACTGTCAGAGGGTTGACCAGCTCTTCAATAGCCCAGAGTGGCTGGTGGAAAAGAACATTTTCTCCCATATGGCTCCCAAGCTGCCGCGACTTTCTTTGCAACTGCAACCCCTGCAGGCTGCACAAGGCCTGAAAATTTCCACAGTATTGACTTTTGAGGCTCCCTTCCATGTTGAAAAGCGGATTTTGGACATTTTCTGACTTTGAATCAAGACTAGCTGAAGTTAGTGTAGAAAGCTGAGGTGGCCATCCAAGAGAAGAAAGCAACGCTCTGTAATCCGCAATTGCTTGAGGTCTCATCATGGCTAAGGCTCTATCTACTCTGTGATCAACTGCAGAAACAATACGTGCCCACCGAGGATGTCTCCTAGCTACTGAACTCAGTATCTCTTCTGTCGTTTTAAGTGTTTTGATAGCATGTAGACGCACTTCCTGTAATCAGTAAAAATTCAGAACATTGATCCGTACATACGTTCGAAACTTTTTATACAGAACACTCAAACTGAAGAAAATGTGCTTACTTCAAAACCGCTTGATCGAGATGTTCTCAAGTTTATATTCAAAGAAGACATCACAGCATCCTCGATATCACCCACTAAAGTATCAAGTTTTAGTGCAGTCTCTGAAACATAGAGAAACATCTTTAAAGATTGAACGCAACTAACAGTGACCAAACTAAGAAGGAAGGTTGGAAACTCCAAATTTGGGACTATCTAATCTCAATCAACATCAATAACACCGACTCTTTATCAGAAACTATCCAGCCATCAAATGCAAAACGCCTTAACACCAACTAAAGCAAACATACCAGCATAAGCCCGCACAGACTCAACTTGTGCGACTTCCTTTGCTAATGACGGAAGCTCCTCCCCGGCTAATTGCTCCGTCGCCTCCTCCTCCTTTCCGCCATCTAAATGAATTAAACATATTAACAATTCTCAAATTATAACGGAAATGTATTTAACAAACACCAGAGACTCAATTTTTCATCATTGACTACAACATTTCACGATCATAATCAGCATTTCTCTGTTTCTTTAGACGAATCGTGATGAAATCAATACGAACCTGACGCGGAGCGAGGAACGGAGGTAGAAGAAGAGAGATTAGCCAATTTGGCATTAACCTCGACAAATAAACCACCGACGCGATCGGAAAACGAAGCGTAAGAAGCAAGACCGGACTCGAGCTGGCGATTTAATCCGGCTAATCTCTGATCCAATTCGGAAATCTCGGTCTGTAACTCAGAAACCAGACCTGGAGACTGGGAGAGATCCGTGGAGTCTCTGAATTTGTCATCGAGGAAGCTAAATACTGAAGCGGAGAAGCTCGAGACCTGTGGAAGTGGTTTGATCGCCTCCATTTGCGATTCGTCGTCGTTGGCTCAATTTCATCGAGAACAATGATAATTCGTTAGAAGAGGATACTGAGTCATTTGCATTGCCTCGGAGTGTTGATGAGTTGTCAGTTTTTTTGATAACACGGATAATGGGCTTTATTTAAGCCCATTAAGTTCAGGACAGTGGCTTCAAATAAATTGATTCATTGTTTGGTTGATACTTTTAAATTGAGCAATACTTCGGTTCTCCCTGGGGTGAATTCTTCTATTCACCCTCTTTTATTTTAATCGATCATAATTCGTCACATAATAAAAAAATTATATTTATTTAATTATTAAATCTAATTTCTAACCACTCTTTTATAAACTCAAACCGATATATAATCTCGTTTAATTATAAAATCTAAACTCTAATTCTCCTTTGTAAACCCAAACCGTCATTTAAACTCGTTTAATCGTAAAAAATCTAAATCCTAATCGTATTTTTTAAACCCAAACCGACATTTAACCTCGTTTAATTGTGAAATCTAAATCCGTTTATAAACCCAAACCGATATTTAACCTTGTGTAATCATAAAATCTAAACCGTAATCGTACTTTCTAAACCTAAACCGACATTTAACCTCGTTTAATTGTAAAATTCAAATCCATTTATAAACTCAAAACCGATATTTAACTTCGTTTAATTATAAAATCTAAACTCTAATCGTACTTTCTAAACCCAAACCGACATTTAACCTCGTTTAATTGTAAAACCTAAATCCGTTTATAAACCCAAACCGATATTTAACCCCGTTTAATCATAAAATCTAAACCCTAACCCTTTCTAATAAACCCAAACCGATAAATAATTTTGTTTTAGTGGCAAATTAGATTTTATAATTAAATGAAATTTTTTTATTATTATTAGATGACAGATTATTCACCCTAGTTTCTAACTTCTACCTAATGAGCTAAAAAGTTTTTTTTTGGTTTAATGTGAATGACTGAAAAGTTAGAAGAAACCTTCATGACGGTTTCAAGATAAAATGAAAAAGCCCATCCATTATAATTGGGCTATTACTCTATTAGCCAATGAAATACATTTCATCTGTAAAAACACTTGGTATATATCTGGGCTGTAAGTATTTGTTAGATTCTTTGCATTCCAAGAGTTGCACCAAATCCAGCACATTTTACTTGGAAATCTTTTTAATTTTGAATGTCTGAGAAGCGCAATGTATTAATTCGGGTGTGATATACTATTCTAACAGTATTGTTTTAGTAGTTAAAATATACTCTCTCCGTTTTTTTATAAGTGATATTTTAAGCTTCTAATTTTGTTTTTAAATAGATGATGTTTTCATTTTTCAATGCAAAATTAATTATTTTTTATTGATTTTGACGATTTATATTTTGTAGATTATTTTTTTATTGGTTGATAAGATAATAAATGATGTTTTAGTTTAAAAATAAACAAAATTAAATGATTTCTTAATCTATTTGCATTCTTCTAAAACATCACTTATAAAATAACGGAATGAATATTAACTATGATAAATAATTGTTTTTTTTTATAAACAGATGTGAAAGACAGCGGATAAAAAGTGTGTTCATCTTGATTGATGATAACTTGGAAGACGACATTTTTTTACCACTGCAATCAAACCACTAGTTAATTCGTTAATTGTCGATTAAAGTTTTATTTTATTTTTTAATTTATAAAGGGATATAGTTTGATGAGGCTAAAAAAAAAAAAAAAAACTTTGCTGACTTAGCAACGTTTATCTATGTAACCAAGGGGCAATTTGGTCATTTCAAGTTCCATTCCACCTATACGTAAAACTACCGGCCTTGCACTTTCCCACAAAAAAACAGGTAGCCCCGCACACAGAGATAAAAGCA